AAAGCCCAGAGGATTAAGACTTGTATCTTGTGTCTGATAAGTTAAAGTATTCTTACTACTTGCTTGCTGAATGTTGCAGTGGAATTATGAAGAGAAATTTCTTTTTTTCCAATTAATCGCTTTTTGGAATTGATAGTAGGTTTCACTGACTGTCAATAATTAACTAGAGCAGCCCCTTTTAGGTGAAGCTCTTTGTTAGCCAAATTTTTTCCACTTACAGGCATGAAAACCCAGATCAAAAGGGGGCAAACTTGTTATGAAAAAGTTTTGATTCTGTCAAATGTAGCTTATTTCAAGTTGTCATTGGGAATGAGTAAGGATTAAAAAGGAAAATGGGAATAATATGTTTTATTAAACTACCAAATTTGATTCAGAATTGATGAATGAAATCAAGTATAGGACAGTACAAAGAGTTTAAACAAAGGGATTTTATTTTATAGTCATGAATTCTTATGGAGAAAATATATTTCCATGAAAAGAGACTGGTGTTTACAATCTAATTGAAAAATATTGAGTGAGTTGTGAGATTCTATGGTAAATATTTTTCTCAATTTGTGATCAAACAAGAAATCTTTTGTCTTAATTTAATGTTTAAAAAGGTTTCAAAACTATTTTTCAAGATACTGAGAAAAAGATGATAGAAATAATGGAAAAAAGTGAAAGATCATATCTGGTTTGTAATGTAACCAAAAATACTAAGAAGTACATACAGTTGTATCACTAATGATTAAAGAAACTACCATTTTGTGGACTAACGCATGTCACACAGTTTTATTGTAATAAAGAGACAAACTTAAAACAATTCAGTAAAAAACATTAAGGAGGAGACGAAGGTATCTACCGGTACATAGCATAAAATAAAAACTACCTACCTACCTAGAAAAGTACATGTAATTGGAAAGAAGCAGAAGGTTTAAATTGGAACAAAGGAATCCTCATAACACTATCGGGGCAAAAAAAAGTACTTGTGACAAACAGTAACTTCAATTTTTGGGTGTTGTGAAAAATATGACATCTAAAAAATGGATGAACGAAAAAGAGAATATTCTACTCCAGTCCTTTGGTGAAGACGACAGGACTGATTAGGACTGGGCTCTAGAGACTTCTTCTATCATTATCCGGGATACTGAGTTCCATCCAGTGAAAGCATTACCCAGTGTATTACTGGGACACTTTCCTACCCATAACTCCACAGTAACCCTGCCCTGTGAAATGTTTTCACAGTATCCCTCAAATGATCTGTGATGAAGCAGCTCAGGACTCCCAGATGGCCAGGTGTTGTACACAACAGCCTCAATTGTCATTGGTCCACTGCATTCATTTCCATTAA